GCGCTCTTCAGGTCTCAGACTTCTCCCTGTGTCCTCACGTCGGGGAAGGGGCTGGGGATCTCTCTCTTTCATAGGAGCACTAATGCCATTCATGAGGCTCCAGCCTCATGACTTAAGCCCTTCCCAGAGGCCTCACCTCCTACTACCATCATCGCAGTGTCCTTCTGTTTCTGGAAGGACAGTGGAGCATAGGAGCTGTTTTTTAAATGTAATTTTGTTTGTCTGTTTGCATTCCTGAAGAAGTTGGGTAAGTGCATGCACACCCCAGAAAAGCTGAAATCTGCAGATTCCTCTTAGATGAAGATTTGAATCTTTTAAAATGGAGAATAGTAACTGCCTGTGCTGCTCAGGGACTCTTGCAAAAAGGCTGTTGTTTCTCAGGGCCTTCCATGCATTTCTCTTGTTATCAACAAAAACAAGTTCCCTCCTCCAGTGTATATTTTGGGGCTCAGAACTTAAACCTGTGTCATTGTCCCAAGTTTGTCATTAATCTACTGCAGATATCAACCATGTTATATACAGAATAATCTCATTTATAGTTTCTTTGGCTTCTGATTATGAAATGTACCTTAACTCACAAGTGTTAGATATGCCAAAAACCACTTTTGCCCCAAAGAAAAATAGCTGGTATCCTGTGAACACTTTACAAAAATATTTTCAATGTGCAGTAAGTACACAGTTGAAGTACATTGCTGGCTAGCTTCCAATTCAGAAGTGGAATATAAACTTAATAGATTTACTTTTAAAAAAGTTACAAAAGCGCTACAGGTGACTTTTTTTTTTTTTTTGCGGTACGCGGGCCTCTCACTGCTCTGGCCTCTCCTGTTGCGGAGCACAGGCTCCGGACGCGCAGGCCCAGCGGCCATGGCTCACGGGCCCAGCCGCTCCGTGGCATGCGGGATCTTCCCGGACCGGGGCACGAACCCGTGTCCCCTGCATCGACAGGCGGACTCTCAACCACTGCGCCACCAGGGAAGCCCGAGGTGATTTTTTTTTTAAAACATTACAATGGTATATAAAGTGAAAGTAAGAATCCTTCTTTTCCCCCATTCCTGTCTCCCAGAAGTAATCACTGCCCACCATTTTCTCTATTTTACTATGTATATATGCATGTATATGTGCATATACATGCACTTGTATGCACACGTGTATATATGCGCATATCATTTTTAAATACTACATTCAATTTTGAATTTAATTCAACCAATAAATTGTATTTGGAGATAAAGATTATCTCTAATATTGCAATGCTGCCAATGGTACTGCAGTAAACATTCTTATACACAAAGCTTTGCCTACTTACATCTTTCTACTCAATTAAATAATTTCCTAAAAGTGGTATGTCTGAATTAAAGGGAACGTACATTTGATGTTTTAAGTATTGCCCCAAAAAGTGATGCCCACCCACTTCCATCAACAGCATATGAATGCCAACTCTTCCTGCCTTTGTCAGCACCCTTATTTTGGTCACTCTCATAAATGAAAAATAATGCCTTACTGTTTTAATTTTCAATTTGTTTTATTACTGGTAAAACTGAGATTTTCATAGTTTAATGTCATTTGAATTTCATCTGTAAATTGTGATATTTTTCTATTTTTATATTGGGGAATCAGTGTGTTCTAAATCATTATTATTTACAGTGACCACTGATGCCATTACTTTTAATTCAGACACACAAAGATCAGTGGTCTGTAGGCCATTGGTATATGTCTCTTACACATGTATATGTGGCAGTGGTATTATCACTGCCACATTGACAAAGCAAGGGAATACTATAGAGCAGACAGCTACCAAAATAGCCAGAAGCCCCACATTGGTTCCCGAGAACTTGAAGACCTGAAGGGTACACTGCCAAGGGTACAGATACACTGCTTGCAAATACATAGAAGGTTTAGGAATCCCATCCACTGCCACATTGCCTACCCCTTTGGTGGATGTATTCAAGTTAGAAAAATATGTGTTCTCCAAAATACCTGTCTGCTAACCTGCTATGAATCTACAGTGACTTTGAGTCAAATGCCTGGTAGCTGAGCAATGCACTGCTTGTCCAGTCATAAGTGGTAGTCCTAAAATTCTCCCTGAGGCTGGCGCATGGATCGTGGTGGAAGAAGAGTGGGCTTGACTAGCTTTAGGGTTACCAGGGAGAAAGGGGGGGGGGGGGGGGGGGGGGGTGCGGGCGACGGATAGATTGGGAGTTTGGGATTGACATGTACACACTATTTTAAATAGATAACCAGGGCTCCCTGGTGGTGCAATGGTTAAGAATCCGCCTGCCAATGCAGGGGACACGGGTTCGAGCCCGGGTCTAGGAAGATCCCACGTGCCGCGGAGCAACTAAGCCCGTGCACTACAACTACTGAGTCTGCGCTCTAGAGCCCGCGAACCACAACTGCTGAGCCCACATGCCACAACTACTGAAGCCCACACGCCTGGAGCCTGTGCTCTGCAATAAGAGAAGCCTCCGCAATGAGAAGCCCGCACACCTCAACAAAGAGTAGCCCCCGCTCGCCACAACTAAAGAAAGCCTGCACGCGGCAACGAAGACCCAATGCAGCCAAAAATAAAGTAAATAAATTTAAAAAAAAAATCTCAACAACAAAAAAAATAATAAAAAAATAAATAAAATGATAACCAACAAGGACCTACTGTATAACACTGGGAGCTTGGCTCAATATTCTGTAATAACCTAAGTGGGAAAGGAATTGGAGAAAGAATGGATACTTGTATGGTATCCAATACTGAATCACTTTGCTGTATACCTGTAACTAACACATCATTGTTAATCAACTCTACTCCAATATAAAATAAAAATTAAAAAAAAGAAAAGAGTGGGCTTTGAGAAGCAAGTGATTCTGAAATTCTCACTTTTACGTTCTGTGAAAAGATAGCATGAAATAAAGTCAAGATACATTGGCCCAACAGTAGGTGAACTGTTTCATAAAGTCTTGAATGTACATTTACATAATTAAGGAGTTTGAAACAAGGTTATGAAACGATTTTTTTCCCTGTCCCCAAATTTTAGGAGGCGTTACTCTTAGCTAGAGGTACAAGTATTGTTCCTCAGGTTGCCAATCCCAGCAGGCACAGGGAGGCCATCTCAACATTTATCTGTCACCTATGCTAACGTGTCTCTTCTTTGAACGCTTCTCTCTTAATCGTGAGTTCTAAACTTCCATTATTATTTTCTATTGTTTTTTCCAGAACATTGACATAAATATCTTGCAGTAATTATAATGATTAAGATAATAACAAATAGGCACAATTTATTTAATGTCCTGTAGTAAGGACTTTTCATAAATTAATTTGGGAGAAAATTTGTGAATTCCGTAATTATTTTAATCTAATGTTCCTATGCCTCAGTAAAAATAAGCCTGTTTTTCCAATGCCAAATAGAGGGTCAGGCTCTCTTAAAACTGCAAAGGGAACTTGTGATTATATATCTCTCCCTTGTGAGAGAGAAGAAAGTGAAAGCCCGGTTTTAGAATTATATTTACATGTAAACTTCATGACCTTGAATTAGGCAGTGGTTTCTTAGGTGTGACACCAAAAGCGCAAGCAACCAAATAAAAAATAGATAAATTGGACATCAAATTAAAAAATTCAAGAAAGTAAAGGGACAATCTGCAGAATGGGGGGAAATACTTGCAAAATCTGATAAGGGCCTAGTATCCAGAACATATAAGGAACTCTTACAATCCAACAATAAACAATTAAAATTTTTAAATGGGCAAAGGATTTGAATAGACTTTTCTCCAGAAACATATATCAATGGTCAATATACAAATGAAAGGATGCTGAAAATTATTAGTCATTAGGGAAATGCAAATCAAACCCATAAAGAGACAGCACTTTACACTCATTACGATGACTATTTTAAAAAAATGGAAAATAAATGTTGGAGAGGACATGGAGAAATTGAAGCCTTCACTTATTGCTGGTGAGAAAATGGTGCAGCATCTTTGGAGAACAGTTTGGAAACTCCTCAAAAAGTTAAACAGAGTTACCAAATGAACCAGCAGTTCTACTCCTAGGTATATACCCAAGAGAATTGAAAACATATTCACTCAAAAACTTGTGCATGAATGTTTATAGCAGTATTTTTAATTTTCCCAAAAGTGGAAGCAATCCAGATGTCCATTCACTGATGAATGGATAAACAAAATGTAGCACATCACAGTGGAATATTATTCAGACATAAAAAAGAATGAAATACTGACACACAGGATGAACATACCTATGTATATTCATACCACAAGGATGAACCTTGAGAACATGCTAAGTA